GTTATATAAATTTATTCCAGAAAATCAAAATGGACGTTTTTATCCTTTTATTATGTATGGTGCTAAAGCCACTCTTCCTACTGGTGAAGGTGATATTACTGATGCTCTTTCTTTTATTGATGATGGTGGTATTTCTTGGACTGGTAATGCGGGAATACCACAAGAAGAAGAAGAAATTATTTTGGATAATGCCAATGTTGATTTACAGGATGTTATTCGTGATAATGTGAAAATAAAAGTTCGTGTTGGTCGTGGTATTGTAGTTGGAGGATTTCAGGGGTCAGATGCTGCAGATGTTGAAGCTGCATATAAACAAGAACTTGCTAATCATACCAGTGTTGATAGTGATGGTTCGTACATTATGAAAATTATGGGTTATATTACTGTTAGATTTAAACAATTACGTTCATCTCCACTTGAAATTGTTGAAGCATATAATTTTGTTCGTTGCCAATCATCTTGGAAGGATACTCGGACGGGTCAAACTGTTTCTCATGATAGTGTAATTTCGTTAAATGGATTAGGTCAATTTGTTCAAGACGGTGTTAGTGGGTTTGTTATTGAACGTGGTGATGGAGAATCTTGGAGTGATGCTCTAAAACGTTATGGTTATGAAAATTTGCCTGTTGACACTTTCATGACTATTGGTTCTCTTGCTGAAGGAACAGGTATTACTTCTTATGTGTGTAACTTAGCTAAAAGAGGAGTTAAAAGTGTAATTGGTCCTTTAATTGAAAGTGCTCTTTCTGATGCTATACCTGGTTATAATACGGCTAAAGTGTTGGTAGGTTATGCTTATACTGGTATTTCTGAGGGTATGCAGTTTATTGATAATAATACATATTTGAGTGCTGGTCGAGATGCATTGGAATCTGTTTTAATTGGTGGTTTGAGGAAAGTTGCTGGTGATGAAGTTGTTGATTTTTTTAGTAATGCTACTTCGTTAATATCTAAGACTATATCATTATTTAATTAGAACTCTTAATTGAATCTTGTTTTCATTCATTTGATGCAACGACGTGCTGGTAGACGTAATTATCCAAGAAGAAGATATAAAAAACGCGCAACTTTGAAACGACAAGCATTTGGTAATTTTGCCAGTGCTATGCAACAACGAGATAGTACTAATGTTGTTATTAGTATGCAAGAAGATGTTTCTATTAATGTTCCAGTTGGTGCAAATGAAGGTACAATGTTAAGGAATGTTACTGCATTGATGACTTCTACACAATATTTTCATAATTATATGGGAATGTATGATCAATTTAAGTTAAATGCTGTTAGAGCATCTATGGAAATGACATTTATTGGAAATCAATTATTAAATAGTGCAACATTTCCATCTATATGTACAGCATGGGATCGTAATGGTGTTAGAATCAATACTGCTGTTATTAATAATACAAGATATTTCCAATTACCTACTTATTCTTCTGTTTCTTCTTATTCTAGTGCAAATGAAAAGACATTATATTATGGTAGTAGATGGGGAGTTGTAAGACAATTAGATGCAGCATCTATGATGGAAAAGTCTATGTATTTACCAACAACTAATACTAGAGATGTACTCAGTATGGATAATATGTATAGTGCATGGAATCCTCAATTATTAATTTCTATAAAAACTCCTCAATCTGTTAATGCTGTTAATTCTTGTACTCTTACTATTCATTGGCAATTTGATGTTACATTGAGAGGTCTTAGGAAAGTACTTGTTTCTGAAGACAATTCTTTTAAACCTTATATTGGTTTTATTGGTTATGCTCGTAATAACAATGGACTTGTTGTACCTAATAATGTTCCTAATGCACAACCTCCGTACATTTTAGTTGGAGCAATTGATAACGGTTCCGCTCCATCGATTAATCCTGAAACTGTTTATGATGCCGCTAATAATGCATATTCCAATGGTGGTTTAGTATTACCAAATGATGGTTTACCAGAACATAATGTTAATCTCTAATTGATTATTGAACTTTAATTGGTTATTTGATGTTTAAACGAAGAAGAAGACAATACAATTATAATAAACGATATAAAAGATATTATAATAGTGCTGGTAGGTATGTTTCTAGACAATATGATAAACAACCCATTGATAATGAACAGCAGTTTTATCAATTTGGTGGAAGACCTTATAATCCACCAATTCCAGATGAATCTCTTCAAAATATAGTTAATAGGGAATTAGATAAACGATTGGGTGATGACGGTGGATTTTTTAAAAATATTGGTAAACAACAAAAAAGGATTGATGATGATAATAAAAATCTGTATAAAGCTATTTTGCGTGCTCAGCAAGATAATCTTAAAAATGTTCATCATATTGAACGTTTAGAATCTGCAATTAATAAATATAAACAAAATGCTGAACGATTTGTTACAGTTGAAGATTTAGTTCGTGAAAATAGAGAAATGATAAATAAAAATGTGAATAAGATTAATGAATTAAGAATGGAATTTGGTGATTTTATTCCTCGTAATATTCGTACTCAAATAAAAGATCTTGATGAACAAAATTCTATATTGAAACGTCGTGTATCTAATATTGAAAAGAATAATGGGATATTTGTTACTCGTGCAGAGTTAAATGCTTTCAAAGATTTTTATGAACCTGTAGTTGAAAAACAGGGTTCTAGATTACAAAATATTGAAGAACGAATTGATATTTTGAAAGGATTGATTGATAAATATCCTGCTTTTGAGAATCAATTAAAAAAGTTATCTGATGATTATCAGAATATGGGTTCGGCGTTTTCTAGACAATATGATGATTTGAATTCTCAATTTAGACATTTGAATACAATAAGTCCAGAAAATTTAAATGCTGTTAGAGCAGATTTAGAATTATATAAAGATCAACTTCAAAAAGAAATTCAATTACTTTATAGAACTAAATTAGATGTTAATGAAGCTGCCAAGTGGTTTGAACAAACATGGTCTGATACATATAGACGAAACGATGTAAAAATTTTATTAGAACAATTTGATAATTATATAAAGAAACAAGAAAGAATTGTTAAAGATATTGATTCGAGACTCGTTGAACAACAACGATTTTCATTGAAACGACTTGATACGGTTACAGATAAGGTTAATTTATATATTGAACGTCTTGATAAATTAGAAAATAAATCAGAAGAATGGAAAAATGTTTTTGATGTGGTTAACAGATTACCTGAACACATGAAAATACCTTTAAATGATTTACTAAAAGATTTATTAGAAGAACAAGAACCTGCCAATTTTACTAGAAGAATGAGAATACTTGAGAGTGAAGTGAAAGCTCTTAAATCATCAATACAGAAAATCGGTGCTGGTAAAACAGAAGAACTTACTCGTGTAATAAGTTTAGTAAATAGTATACAGAATGATATGAATTCATATAAAAAGGGAGGACAAATAATAAATGCAGGAGAAGAACATTTTTATAGTGATGATCCAGATATGAAACAGAGTAAAAAAGCTTTTGAAAATACTCGTCAGTTATTAATTTCTCAATTTAGAGATGTTAATAAGTATATAAAAAATAATGAAGTTCGTGGTACACAATATAAAGATGTGATAAGTACTGTTAATACAATTATGAACCAATTTGAAAATATTGCTCAATCCTTTAATGCTGAGTATGTTGTTCCTGTTAATGATATGCAAAATTTTCATGAAAGTATGATGATGGTTTTGAGTGGTATTAAAGATGACAATTCGAATATTGATGAAATTCGATATAAATTGGATGTTGCTTCTCGTGATTTTACTAAATTGCGGGCTTCTTGGAATAGTAATAGAATGGCTGGTGCTAAGATTATTGCAACTAAATTGGCTGAACGAAATGGTATAAATCTTAATGAATTTGTTGAATATGCTCAGAATTTTGTTGTACGTGGTGATACTAATTCTTATGTTTCTGAAAGTATAATACAACCAAGAAAAAGAATTACAGGAGATGGTATTTCTTCTGATTCAAATTCTGGTTTGGAAAATCGTGGTCACGGAGTGGTTACAGCGAAAGAGGTAAAACATGGATATGAATTAATGGGTAGACATGAAATCGAACCTAAATATAATGTTACTCCTGTTGCTTCTGATTATAGACAAAAAACAAATGATTTAATGCGTGCGGGATATAACGAATATGATTATGAAAAGTGGTATAAAGAAGCGAGAGCAGCAATAAATGAACGAGTGAAAAAATATTATGATAATCCTGAAAATGAGAGGGAAGTTATTGATGTTAACGGTCATATCACGGAATCTATTCCAAGAGGAGTGTATAATATGATTGAGTCGGATGAACTCAGTCGATATGAAAAGCGTGTAAATGCGTCCAAGAGGAACAATTTAATACTGAAACGTAATATGGAACGTATTAATAAACGTGCATGGGAAGACGTATTGAAGAAAGACACTTCTGCGAAATCTAAAAGAATAATAAAAGTTCCGATGGTTGCAACTAAAAAGAAGTAAATTAATTTATTCTTTCTTAATCATAAATTATGTCTGGATCATTTCCGTTTCCTCCGAGTGGTTGTTGTTCCATTGGATTGTTCATTTCTTCATCTCCGTATTCATCATAATCGTCATAATCGTCTGAATTTTCTTCTTCGATGGCTCTTTCGTCAAAATAAGCTTTTCGATCTCTTTCGAATTTGCTCATTGCATCTTCTTCGAATTTTTTATACTCTTGTCTTGTTAGGCCGAGTGGATTATCTGATTGATATTCTTCTATATCTCCGTTCCACTCTTCTAACATACTTGAATTGTCATCTTGGTATTCATCTAGTTTTCTTTTTAATGTTCTATCTTTTTTCTTTGCCTCTCTTATTTTTTCATTCAAATTTTCTAAAAACTCTTCGTCGTAGCCTAATTCTTCTAGGAAATTTGTCATTCGTGTTTGGAATTTGACGTGTTCTGAAGGAATTTCATTCATCGAAGTATCGTCTTCTTCGGGTAAATCTTTTACTTCTTCGTATTTATCGTCTAATTCTTTTTGTGGATCGTACTCTTTCTCTTCTTGTGACATATCTTCTATTTCATTTTGAGATTCATTTGGATCTTTGTAAATTTTCTGGTCTAAAAATATAGTCATCGAATTTCTTCTCCACCAACTATAACCACCATTAAATTTCATTAAATTTAAAACCGCTTCGTATTCTTTATAATTTAATAAATGAACACAGGGACGTGCGGTTACTACTGCTTTTGAGTATTTAACGTTAACCATGGTCTTTTTATTTATTGCTGAAGTTAAAGCTTTTATTAAACGGAGAAGATTTTTGTCGTAATTTATATCGTCGAATATTATGAATTTGTATTGCTGTTCGTCGTCGTAGGTGTCAAATAAAGAATCTCCCCTAAGCATAAAGGTATTATACTTCATGAAAATTTCTTGGATGGCAAATTCTGTTTTGCCTGTTTTAGTGGGACCGACTATAAACAAATTTCCCATTCTAAATTTATTCCCACTGGCACATTTAATCCATTTTCTTATATTTTTAACTTCTTCTAGCTCTTCTTTCCAAGGAAGGAGATTTTCTTTAGTATAATTTTCCATGTCTATTCGGCGTGAATTCTTTCTCATCCATCTAGATTTTATTTTGCCCTCTTGTTGTATATATTTTTCCGCATTTATTTCCATTAAATTCTTTTCTAGCTCTTTATAATCGTGGTATGAGTCCATGTCATTCAGCGCATTTATCCACGTCTGTTTAAGTTCGTCTTTGGTATTAGCATTTCCTTCATGTAAACCTTCTCCTTTTTTTGTTATATACTTTATAATGGCGGAAAAATCACCAGTGCGTGATGTATAAGAATTCACACAAGAATACCAAAATTTCTGTTGAGTTCCATCTTTGTGGTTGAATATTGGTCGTGCATTAAATGATTTCGGTCTTTTCATTACAATTAATAAATGTTGATGAGGATTGGGATTTATTTCATCCCTTTCCACAGGAGAAATGTGGGCGTATTGTAAGTTGTTTGTTGGACCTACTATTCTATCAATAATTTCTTTGAACTGTATTTTGTTTTGTACCTCGTCTCCCCATAATGTTAAATAGGCATAGCGTGAGGTAAAATGGAGAGGTTTTTGATGGTCGAGCATGTGTTGTAAGGAGATTCGATTTAAATTGGAAGGTTCTAGCTTGGAATCGTTTGAAGACATTTTGTTATTTTTTTTTAATCTGGAATTGTTTAAATATGGTTCTTTGAGGTTTTTCATTACGTGGTGCTCATGTTTTGATTACGTTTTGAGTGGAGTTGACTATTTAAAGGAAACTGAAAAATAATATTTATAAAAACGTTAATATGGCTGCTCGTGGACGTGTTCATGATGACATTTATGAAGAAGTTGAATCTATGGATATTGCTGATGTATACAAAGACTCTCAATTGGATCCCAATGTTAATAGCTTTATGAAGAGAGTTTTTTATCTTATGAAGGAACCACAATACTTAGATTGGAGACTTAATTCTGATACGCGTGTTGAGACTGATGAGATGCGTTGTGAAATTATTAAAAATAAATTGGAGTCTATAAAAAGGAGTGAAAGACTTTCTCGATATTTGGATGAACAAGGAATAAGTTTAAATAGTTTTAATGTATGGAATAGAAAATTCAGTAGAAAAGGAAATAAAGTTCCTATTAATAACATGACTATTCCTGAATGGGTTAGAAAACAATCAAAAAAATGTAGTGAAGATGTGACTGAAATACAAGAAAAGAATGAAGTTGAACGTTTAGTTAGTAATGAAGCTTTGGATGAAATGAAATCCCGACGTGCTATGACAAGATCTTTACCAAAGAAGAGTGATGAAAAGAAGCCTAAGAAACCAGAAGTTGATAATTAAATTAATTATTTGGTTAGTTTTATTTTGTTTTGCTTACGTGTATACACGTTTTTAATTAAATATTTTGTGAATATTTCATCTAGATTCATTAAATGGTTGATTCAATTATTAGATGTACTTCTGCTTTACCGAGTAATGATTATAAATTATGTCCTTTTACTCGTCATGTATTCTTAAGTGGAGGAGTAGCCGTTGGCAAGACTACTATTCTTAATTATATTGCAAGTGTATTCTTTAACGTGGATGATATTTTTTTTGTTCGAGAATATATTGATTACGATGTAGAAGGTGAAAAACGTTTAGAGAGTTTGCATCACGGTGTAATAAAAAATTATCAATTTCAGAAGTATGTATTGCGATGTTATAGAAAACAATTTATGAGTTATGAATTTAGAAATGCAAGAATTGTTATTTGGGAGAGGCATTTGAGCGAAGCTTTGAGTATTTTCTGTGAAAATGATGAATCTCTTACTGATGAGGAACGTAAAGATATTAGAAAGGAAATAGATGAATTATGTGAAATGTATAATATACCCAGTTTGAATAATATTAATGTGAAGTATATTAAAATTAATACAGCTGAAGTTGAAATGAAATGGATAGCACAAATATTATTAAACGGTGTTATTTATCCAATGTTGATGAAGAATTATAAACATGATTTATTTGTCTTATTGTATTGTGGAAATTTAAAAGAGCAATTTCGTAGAGTGTTGCAAAGAGGAAGAAGTGTTGAATTAGAAGTGTATAAAAAGAGTGAAGATTTACTTACAATTAATGATACTTATTTTGAGTTTTACTTAAAACATAACGAATTAAATAATTGATTAACTTGTTATTTCATTTGTTTATATTATTATGAGTGATACAACTGAGCATATTTCTGTGGACTCTTTATTAAAGCAACCTAAGATATTAAATAGAATATGTTATTCTATAGGCGCTTCTATTGTTTTATTGGTACTCATGATTCTTATTATTATTAGTGAGTTGATTATTAAATTTTTAACATAAAATAGATTAAAAGTTAATTAATTATTTTTTAGGCTTTGTTTCATTGGAATGATTTGAAGCACATTCTTTTATTACCTTCAGTGTTTTTTTGTGTGTTTTTAAGAAGTTTATAGCAGTTAAAGCTATATCTTCTACTAACCATGCCTCTTTTTCTAGAATTTTTAAATATTTTTTATCTCCCAAGGTGGAGATTTGCTCTTTTTTATAAAGCTCTGTTAGATCCTGGCATAGCTCTTGTATACCGTCCAAGTCTATGAAGTAGCTTGATAGTGCGTCGACTTGGATGTCCTCTAGTTTCAAAAGTTCTGCTCGTTCTTCCACTGTAATGCTCATTTTGTATATTAAGTTTGGTTATGTGTTTTTATATAATTAAATACGTGTGTTTACGTTGATAAACAGACAAATTACGTGGTACATTGTAATTATTTTATCTTCTTATTTTAATATTTTTTATTATTTATTGTTTGAAGAGGCATTTTGACAGACAATTTTTATTCTAAACAGACATTTTTATTGACTTTTGTATGGGATATACTTATGTGTTGTTTATCTGTTGCCAACTAATCATTTGATTTAAAAACTAAGAGAACTTGAAATATTTCATCAATGAGTAAATTAGATTGTTTAGAACGTCTTAAATCTCTTATCCATGAACTCTCCATTGAAGTTAACTCTCTCTTACAAAGTAATATAACAGAAGATGGACGAAGCATTATTTATGCTATTGCTTATTGGGCTCATCAATTGATATTTATAAAAGAATATGATTATGATTGTAATTTGGATAATTATCTTCGTTATCTACTTGGTGATATTAAAAATTTTGTTGCTAATTCTGGTAGACTTGAAGATATTGTTGGGGAAATTTCCTTTTTCTACCATGATCTTAGTAATTTCCTATAAGATTCTAATTTATTACTTTTTGTTATTTTTTATTGTTATTTGTTTTGTTGTTATTTTATTTTGTTGTTATTTGTTCGTTTCAACATTTATTATTTTAATATATTTATTATTATTTTATTATTATTATTTTGTTGTTATTTGTTGTATACGTCATTCTATTCCTCATTACTATTGTAATACTTCACCTTTCTCTTGTTGTTAATTCTGTTTTCGTATGTTTCTTTGCTTCTTTATGTTTCTGTGTTACATTTCTTCTTATTTCTGCACCTTTCTTTCACCCTAATTCCTCACCATTTGAAATTTTTGAACGTTAATTTCAACCCTGCCACGTTGCGTTTTTATTTAAACCCTTATCAGCGATCTAATAATTCATTCTACGCTGACATTTGTGTTATTCCACGTTGTGTTATTATTTTGTTATTATTTATTTTAGTATTGATATTAATTATTTAGTGTTTCTTATTTATTTCCATAATTCTATTGTTTTATATCTCATTTTTGTCATTGAGTGTTTCATTATTATGTTTATACTGACTTTTTTAGAGAGTCCAAAATATATATATATATATACTGATATATATTTTTTATTATATTTTATTATTATTTTATTATAATTTTACTATAATTTTGTCAGTGTTGTCAGCTGACATTTCTATTTGAGTTTTTTTTAGATTTTCATTCTATTATTTTTAGATATTTTTGTTATCTATCCCATAATTCTTGAGTTTTATCCACGTATTGATTACGTCAATTGAATTTTATTAAATCTCATTGATGTGTTGCCACGTCATTTCTATTCTATTTTTATAAACTTCATCCACATTTTGCCACGTCATGTTCTATTTCTATTTTAGTTTTGACGTGTCTCCATGTCATCATTGCTGTGTTCTATTTTTAGAACACTGTCATACTTTACAAATTTCTTAATTATTATCTTATTCTATTTTTATATCTTTTTTATTATCTATTTCTTATTAACTTTATTATTCTATGTTTTATTTTGATTTCTTCTTTTTCTTTTATATTATTATTATTATTATTATTATTATTATTATTATTA